TTCAGTTTGATGTAATTTGTCCTCTTCTTGCCTGGTAATAGATGTGGGGCGATTGCATTTTTTTCCATTCTCTTATTCCATTTCCATTTCATCTCTCAGTTCCATTTCTCCTGCGATTCCTTTCCAAATTTTTCATTTAAGACGCTACGCATCACGTGTGCTGCGATATTCAAAATATTTGTCTATATTTCCAGCTTTATTTTCACTCATCGATCGCTATGCCATGCCCATAAGTTTGCCTATGGTATCCACTACATGTTTTGTATCTGCGCCCATTCTGTGTGTTGGCGTCTATAAGAAGGGAGCAAATAAAATAACTCGTACATAATGTACATTCTTACGCATTACACAATGATCAGGAAACAAGAATTCATGAAAAACATCGCTTAGAGTATGTCGCACATATCGCTGATGGTAACATGCTCGCATCATTAAACGCGATACTAATATCTGTATGCAAGCAAGTTGGCTTGAAAATAGTACAAATCACACAAAAGATCTTCTAGGGTCCGTGTGAGAAAACAAACAACCTTAAAGTGCACTTAATGGTTTGCAGGGGATATTCAGACCCTTTGCTGTTCATTGATGGCTTCTTTTGGTGAACATGAAGTGATGCTAACATCTTAAAACGTGGAATATTGCTGACAAGAAATTATCAGTTGAAATAAGCGTCGTAAATAAAAGAATGCTCCCGGATTCGCGAAGGTTCTCCGTTGGGCAACATTTGTCCTGCGCGGTCAGGCCTAGCCATTCGCACGTCTTGCTGCTCCTTTCACTTTCTCGTCTCAAGGAGACTATAATTTGGGGGGCTATTTGGTCATTGTGGTCACACAAACGGTTCGCCACCCTGAATTTGCTATTCCACTTAATCGCAGTTCACCTTGCAGCGTTGACAAATTCCTTGGTTGTATTGTGTCTGTCCTCAAAGCATTCCCCCGTTTCGCCAAAACATTCTTCCAGGTCCAGATTGAGGTGTAGCTTTTGGTGAGGTTTTCAGTGTTTTCTAAGTTCCCAGGCTCCGATTAAAGTATGGTTTTTGCTGAGGTTTTCAGTGTTTTCCAAGTTACCACACGAGCGGAGTCAGTTGGTAGCTTCGAAAATGCCTCGATGGCAAATGTTCTCCAGCCAGAAGCATTCGATAATTTGTATGCATGAACGGAATCGCTTCGTTGCATTATTCATTGCATGGACCGATCCCGTTCATTTCATTATGAATTTCATGAACGGACCCATGCTATCTTAGCACTGAATCCGAGTGTATTTTGAGCTGCTGAGGAAGACTTGCGACCGCCAGTAACTATGTCGGACTGTTGGCTGCCTGGGAGATATAATTTTAATGTTGCTGCTCATATTACAGTTATTGCTACTTGTTCTGCCTAATATTGTTCATTTTCGGAACCTGTTGACATGCATAGGCGTCAGCATTGGTATGATTGTTATCATTTTTCCTTCTTTGATGACCTTATGCTCAGCTTTTCACGGACATTTATAGTTCGGAGAATGTATTTCAGCAACCGGCCGCCTTCGGTATGTATAAACCAGATGAATCATTACTTTGGAGTTCATATGCCGACAAAAGTTGACCTCCATTGTACTAGTAGGCTTTGGATAAGCGCCGATATCAAGAAATCATTGTTTGTATTGTTACGACTCGGCGATTTAAGCTGTGCTTATGACCACCTGTTGCCATATAATGAAAATACTATTGCCGAAAGACGGGAGGTGTTGACCTTTCTTGCTCTTATCAAGTAAATCAAATACGATAGTACGCAATTTCTGACACACATGTGATGACGCGCAGTATTTTCGTATGCATACACAGCATGCTTTATGAATGACGTAACACGTGTATCATGTGTGCATAATGCGCACAGCAGTACACGGGGCGCCACATATGCGCACAGCAGTACACGGGGCGTCACATATGCGCACAGCAGTACACGGGGCGCCACATATGCAGTTTGCACCGTGCGCGTTGTGTGTTAATTTATGTTAGTTTTTTTAACTGAAGAATGCCAGCAGTGTAATATATATATATATATATATATATATATATATATATATATATCTAGCTATAGACTAATAGATATAGACTATATATATCTATCTAGATATATTATATTAATATTTATATATATAATATGTGTGTGTGTGGGGGGGGGGGTGTGTGTGGGGTGTGTGGGTGGTGGGGGTGTGGGGGTGGGGGTGGGGGGGTGTGGGTGTGGGTGGGGGTGGGGTGGGGTGTGGGTTGGGTGGGGTGTGGGTGTGGTGTGTGTGTGGGTGGGGGTGTGGGTGTGGTGGGTGTGTGTGTGGGGTGTGTGGTGGGGTGGTGTGCACGTGTGTGGGTATAAACTTGTGTTGACTTCAAAGTTTGGCATCTATTAGGCTCTATGCGACAAAAAAGTAAAATAATTTATTTTCATTTCATTTAGTCCATTGCAATCAGTGCAACGTCCTTTGCCTCATGAAGCACGGGCGAGATGATGCCAGATATGATTGTCCGATCGCCGTGTGGGACGCTAAAACCTAAGCGAATGAAGTATGTCGCGTTGGGAAATCGTACGAAGAGGACTTACCAATGCACTGCACTATCATCCTTCCATGTGCCTGTATCGGCAAGGGCTCGCTGGCGCTTAACGCCTGCGCACTAATTCCTAGAGACTGCTTGAAACCTTGCTGGTGCCAGGCCTGCCAAGGGCTGGAAATTTTCGTGGGAAAATGAGTGTATTGAAACCAGTTTGCGTTCTTGGGAACATTGGACACAATTAACTCGGCTGTTTAGTACGTCTGCAGTTTGTTTTGCGCAGTTAAACCCGACTTCAGCCACAGCGTGTTGTAATTGAGACCGACTTTTGAAAAAGGTGACATTGGGTGCCTCCCAATACAAACAGGGAAATTTGTATCGGGAGCCAGTCATATTACTGATACGCACATACTCTAGACTGTCTATTTCTACTGCTGAGTAATTCATGGACGTTACATTTGCCTGCATGGTTCAGCTAGCTGTTATCTTGCCGAGCTCTGACATCAGTCACCTCTCAACGGTTGGATCCGTGGTTTGCGTTCGGGAGGGCGCCACCGTCTGCGCAAATCAGCACACACAGAACGATGCCGGTCTTCTCCTCGGTCAGCGCCCGCTCGCTTCATGTCGCTGCGTCGCCTGGTCGCCGATATTTGGACCTGTTTCGAACCCGAGCTCTTCCGTCACTTTAGCATCAGCTTGCTCGTAATTGGAAAGCATCTAAGTGTGCGATGTGGCCTTGCCGATGCCGGTTTTTACGGAAGCATTACACGTGAAGGTTTCATCAGTTTGATGCATAAAATGTGAAATACGTTTAGTGGCGGTATGTTATCTTGGTTTTACGACGGGGCACAGATTGGTTATCGACAAAAAACGTCGTGGGCTGATACAATACGGGGCCAAACAAGGTGTGGGTTGCGTAGGAAGGCTGAAGGTCAAAACCTGCAATGACTGGAGAAGCATGACCTTGCCAAAGGTGGTGACCTCTGACGTGCTGCTTCCACTGTTGGCCGCCTGCTGTCACTGACAGCTGAAATCAGGAAAGGCGACCGGTAGTCTTTCGCAATATCCGTTGGGAATCAGCCAGGTCTTCGGCGCACGTTCGCCGGCGACCACTGGAGTTCGCCGGCGACCACTGGAGTTCGCCGGCGACCACTGGAGTTCACTGGCGACCACTGGAGTTCACTGGCGACCACTGGAGTTCGTTGGCGACCACTGGAGTTCACTGGCGACCACTGGAGTTCGCCGGCGACCACTGGAGTTCACCGGCGACCACTGGAGTTCACTGGCGACCACTGGAGTTCACTGGCGACCACTGGAGTTCGCCGGCGACCACTGGAGTTCGCCGGCGACCACTGGAGTTCGCCGGCGGCCACTGGAGTTCGCCGGCGACCACTGGAGTTCACTGGCGACCACTGGAGTTCGCCGGCGGCCACTGGAGTTCGCCGGCGACCACTGGAGTTCACTGGCGACATTGGCCAGGTGTGAGGGGCCAGTGACATGGAGGCCGGGCATGGCGGTGTCTTCGGACGATCTGGAGACCAACGGACAGAGTCACATGGCAGGCCCCATGCTGATAAGATTTTGGATACCAAAGCTCTTCAGCCAAGATACCATCTGGGTACACACGTCGAGGAATTCAAATATCCGTGAGGTTGATCATGAACATTGTGAAATCACATTCCAAGATTTGAACGTCTTGGTCTCGAGATTCAGCATCACCAAGCAATAGGCATAGGAGCTTTGACAGAGCTGAGCTAGATACGTGACGCCCTTGCTTTTTGCCCGCCGCCCTCGCATTAAACATGAATACGCCACGTAACTGAACTTGCGCCAGCCTTTGGAATCATTAGCCTGGACAGAGCTGCGGGCTGCTTGATAAAATGACCCCCGTCCCGTTCTCGGCCAGTTGTGCTGAACATGAGCTATCAAGCACCAGATATGATACGATCATTTGCGGCGTTCATTATTGAATCAGTAATATATATATATATATATATATATATATATATATATATATATATATATATGCATTATATAAGTGCAGCATACTTGTGACATGCTTCAAACATAACAGATCGGGATTGCCAATGCGTGTAAAGCTGCGCCATTATGAAAGCGTTTAGAAGCAATGAAGCTTCCTATTTGGCCGTTCCAATATTGCCAGCCGTGGTTTCACCCAGATCAGTTAACACAGGACTCGTCAGTGTTTATCCTGGGTCTGTTTACACTTTCTGCTTTACGGCTTGGCGGCAGTGACGTCACAGCTGGTGCCTCGTTTCCGTTATGCTATAGCGCTGGAGAGAGATCTTGGTCGTGCCGCTGACGTCGCTGGTGCGCCGAAAGTCCCCATGTTCTCAAAACACTTGGGCGCGCACATAGGACCTCTGCAATGCTTGTTGCACTGGTGCCGCCTGGGTGTTTTCCGGACATCGAGTCAGCCGGGCCCGCCTCCCTGACGACGTGCCTTGTGTTCCAGTGCTGCCCCGCCTTTCTTCGCCACATTTCCGGCCAGCTTGCGGACAGACGGGGCCTCACGCAGGCGCTCGCCGTCCTCGTCGTCTTCGTTATCTACTTGTGTGCAGTTCTGCCCGTGGTGAGATCTCTTCCCAGCGCTCAAACCGGCCCAGAGCTGCGCGCGTAGTCCTCAGTGGAGGAAGCAAATATTTGGTATGTGCTGTTTCATGCATCCATGAGTAGATGTAAGGGCTGACAATTATATATATATATATATATATATATATATATACATATACATATATATAAGACGGCATGCCGCTGGCTGTCTGCTGCGCCAAACCCGAGACCGCAGACTGTAGGTGGATCATTGTCGCCGCCTCAGGCAGGCTGTCTGTGCACGAGTGATTTAAATAGATCGTTCCACATCGGTCACTCCGTGGGATTCCCGGAGAATCTCGGCAGAGTGACGCCAGGAATGTTTTGGCGAAAAAGGGAGCCACTATCATGGCTTGGTTGGCCAAGCTGTTCTTTGTCCAGTGATGCTGTACCGCACCGTCATCGCCAGGAAGTCGCTCCTCACCGACGAAGTCGTCTCGGCGCTCCCATGTCTGATCGTTTCCTGCAGTGTTTCTCAAGTTGAATTCCAGCTGAGCGACTTCCATTGGCAATCTCTTCTTCGAGCCCTCTCCTTTAATGAAGGTCCCGCTCGTCCTTTTTAAGAGCAACTGCCGTTTAAGCTGCCGCGGCCTTAGCTCTTATAGCTTTACTTTCCTCCCGGCATCCAAAGCTAGTGACAAAAGATAGGATACAGAATATCACGCTGCATGGTCTGGCACTAATCAGGTTCCTCAACTTTTATCTCGCATCGGATATTTTCTAGAAAAACGGTTTTGGACAGATCCGATAACATTGCGTTTGCAACATTTAGATTATTACGCGGCAGTGTTCCAACACGAATCTTAGCACGGTTTTTAAACCGTAGGAAAAGTACGTGTATATGCTGCATACATGCATATACTACGCACACACTGCTATGGAGGCACAGGCACTCACGCATCATACACACTTTGATTGATACCAACGCTCATCAGTGACACGCAAAACACCCAACGATCCGGTGGTGTGCACCCTCGTGGCGACCCTCCGTGCAGGTCGAGGGGTCAGCATTCATTTGTTTGTTCACTGATGATGGGGTCCAATTGGCGGATGCATATCGCCCGCCACTTTGTACATGCATAGTTGGGGGTGTGGGGGTGTTGCTATTTGGCCGATACTAGTTATTTGTTACTGCTGGGTGGAAATCCCCAGTATCCAAAGTGGCATTTATAGAGATATATGATGTTGTTCTCTGTGGGTGGACCCGAATTATGTTAGAGTATGATTCATGATCAGAAAGGATGTAGCTGGGCCTAGTAAATGTATTTTCAGTCTGGTACTTTCGTTGGGATCTCTTGTTTGACTGTTGGGGTGGTCATTATTGCCCAGGGCTTTCCCACCTGCACTGTACAAGAACGGAAAACATTAAGTCCCCTCGCGCTTCTGCTCGCCGTAGCTCTCAGAGGTCATTCCTGGAACTTCGGACTGTAATACGGCATAGAGCTCCCATGGAAAGAGTCGTGATCCAGACGCATGCTCTAGGCGGCAGACAGGTCGGAGGGTGCTGTGAGTGATGGCCGGCTCATCCATTCGACGGTGCAGTGGTGAAGCTAGATCGGAACCGAGGTGGGCGAAGAAGCTGTTGTGCGGTAGGTTCTGCTCGCGTGTCAGGCGAGTGGGTAGTAGGCATACGTCGCCATTAGGCTTTGGCCCGGAAAAATACACGAAATGAAAAGACAAGAATCGATTGAAGCATTTCTTTTTGGTACAGATTTTGTCCTAACCTTTTACAGGATACATTTCTGGGATCAGCGCCCCCGCTAAGTGGTCCATGTAGCGTGAACTTTGACGCAACCATCCGACCGTAAAGCTCCGGTTCATAGTGCAGCTTCCTGACGCACGCTTACGGTACTACAACGTTTGGTGCTGCCCGCCATACCCCGGGGGTAGAACCCTCTGAGGTCACCGGATCTTCCCCGTACCAACTGTTACCAGCCGCAGTCTATGCCAGCCAGGACCAAAAAATGAGAGCATAAAGAGACTAAAACCCAGAATCCTCCCCATACCAGTGCGTGAATCATAATGTGGGCGCTCTTAACAGCGGAGCTTTTCGTGCTAACTTCGAAATAGAGGGGGAGAGAAATATCAGTATTATTTTGCAGGCAGGTTTCAGTATTTTGTTAAAAAAAAAACACAGGCACATCGGGCATGATAAAAAGACACGTTTGAAATGTAAGACACAAAACCGTGAAAAGAATATTACGCTTTTTTGTTTTGATGATTGTGTCCCACTTCCACTTGGAAAGGACAACAAGACCACCACTCCAAGATTTTGGAATGCATTGGACCACTCTGGTGTGGTGCGACGCTTCCAGCAAAGCCATGTGACGTAAATTAAACCATAAAAACAACACTGACGTGCTCAGAAGGCTAAGGCGTGACATACATCTGAATATTTGGTTCCAGACACATAAAATATATGACTATCCTTACCAGCGTAGGATTTTAATGCCTGAAGTTAGTTTTTTTGGGGGGAGGGGGCGGTAAGTTCACATCTCATGAGCTTTTTTACATAGAGACGTAATTTGAAGCACAAAAATGTGTAGTCTAGTTTTTGTTGCCATTTCTTTTTCTTCATTCCAAATATGTTACTTTTTATTGCGCTGGTACTAGGCCCCACAAAAAATTAGGCTTGGCCACAGAAATACAAATTGATTTTCCTTCCCTTCTTAATTACCCGTCCATTACCTCCGGTAGTATTGTCCCAACAGCCCCGTGGTTTAGAACGTCTGCATTGCGATGCACCTACAGCTGGCAGGGAGGGTTTGGAGTCGCTTCATGAGCTCACTATTTAATAGTGGTTGTCTTGCACTGCGGCCGGTCACAGAGCGCGCGGGAAAGTTCAGGCGACGCGAGAGTGTTCTACCCTCCGCGTGGGACGTATGGTGCGAAGCGTTGCGGCACGTTAAGTTTTCATCGTAACATTATTCTGTTAACCCGGACTTTCGCCTACGGGTGCTGCTGTCAGAGTGCGCGCAGCAAGCAGCACTTAGCGCGGGCGCTAATTCCAGAAATTTATCCAATCAAAAGTTTAGGTATTAATCCCTAAAAATATCAGATTGAGAAATCCCTACCGTACCGTCGAACGAACGAGCCGGCAATAAATTACTCCGCCTTCTGGCCTATAGGCTGTCGATAGCTTGCGCCTGGATCAGACTGTTCCGCATAGCAGCTTTGTACTGCGGTGTAGTCTAATGTCCAGGGTTGAACCGTGAAAAAATGCGCGCAGGAGCACGAAGGTACTTTATTTTTGCTGTGATTTTACCCATGGCACATGCCTTGCCTTGGTTTGTCTGGTTTCAGCTCTGGGTACCGCGGCATGGCTTGGTTGCTCTGGTCCTCCATCGTGCGAACGACGTAGTCATTGTCGGTCGGGATCTGCTTGACTCGCCCCAGTTCCTGTTGTACAGGTGGCCATGGTGCAAAATGTTGGAGGGTACGGTGGATGTAGGCGCGCACCGCACTGGTTCTTTGCATCACACTGGTCGCACGCTTTTTCAGTTTATGCAGCCATCGTCGTCAGAACGCCTTCGGGGGACGCTGGTTGCAAAGGTTTCGCCTGAAGCTTTGATTGGCGCTACCAGGAAGCTTATGATGTTCCCAATGCTCTCCCCGACTTCCGGGATGCATTCCCAATATTGCGGATTAAGCACGCATTTTTGGCCTGTGCTCGTTAAGGACAAAAGCAAGTCTCATTGCGAGCAGAGTCCAAGTGAACACATTCATGTCATGTTTTTTTCATAATCAAATCCTTTGGCACCCTTAAGACATATAACCTAAATCAAACCTATCGCCCAGAGTAATACTAGTGAACACCGTGATTGATTTGCGATTAACTGACAGTCTTACTGAATACGGTAAGCTATACACCGTAGCTTTCAGGCGAAATGCAGGACGGTAATTATTGTACTCCATTTTTCACCAGCACGTCATACATAGCAGGCTTGTACGGGAAATTATAAACCAAAAATTATGGAAACTTTTTCAAACAGCTTAATCGTCTCCCGCTAAAGTCATTATACTCTCAGGTGCATTAGGTGATTAATTTCAGGTGCACTAGTACATTTTGCAGGACGGGTCTTACCGTGGGCCCTAGCCCTCCTTTGTAGAGGGCCAGGGTTCATAGGGGGCTTGGTTGGTTTGTTGGCTGGTTCTTGGCTCATCACCTGTTAGTTATGCGCGGAAGCTTTGGCTTATCGGCTCAAAATACATTGACACCCCCGGAATGACAAAATCAACAAGTCAGACACGATATATACATGGAACTCAGACACAATGCTAAGCATAAAAATGGGCAATCTAGTTTTGTTATGTTTTCTTGTTCTATATTCTAAATATGCCGTTTTGTGATTCCAGAGGTGCCACGGTCGTTTCCCCAAACGGTGAGGCTTGCCCGCGAAAGAACAACTGGTATTTTCCCTCTCTTTCATAGTTCGCCCCAACACCCCAGTTAGCAAGAGCGCCTACACTCCGGATCATCTTTTGGTGGTGGGGAGGGTTCGAGTCGCTTTACGCGCTCGCTATCTGTTGCTGACATGCAAGGACTGCGGCCGGCAGCAGAGGTTGTGGTAAAGGTCAGATGACGTCAGAGGGTAGGACGGCAGTGCCAATATTGGGGCACGATGAGCTTTCGCCATCAAATCCTCCCGTTGACCCGAAGTTTCACGATTGGATGGTAGTGTTAGGCTCATGCGACCAGCACCACTTAACGTGATCGTTGGTTCCTTAAATTTGCCCAATCAAAATATTAGGACTTGTGGCCAAAGCCTCAACCGATTCCGTGGCTTCAATTTCGTAAGCCTTGCCGAACCAGAGACAAATGGCGGGAGATGTCCACCGCCCACTGGTCTGACGTGTGAAGTGAACCGACCGCTCAGCTGACCTCGACCTGCTGACCTTCACTTCAGCTGACCTCGATTCCGACCAGGCGTCACTTCCATGCCGCAGAGCGGTCTGGCCGGCCATCAATCAACCCCAACCCGTCAGCTGCCGGGGGCATGCGCCTGGATCAGGACCGTTCTGCACAGTAGCTTAAGCATGGGTTGAAATCTAAAGTTCCAGGGTTGACCTTTAAGAGCTGAGGCGCATTGAGGCGCGAGGGATTTTATTTATGCTGTAAGTGGCGCACCAATACATTGTCTTAATGTTGCACAGTTCACCCGGAAAAGCGAAGTGAGCTTAATTAAATGTATGAATACAGCAGTGCCAGGTCAGGAGCAATCCCGATCGACGAGCGAATTCCGTGCCCAATGACCACCGCCGGTTCGTTCCTTTGGCCGCAGTGTATCTTCGACGCAGCGTCCCTGGATGCGTGCTTCGGCGTTCAAAAGTACAACCGAGTGCTCAACCGGACAGTGATGAGTGATGACGTCACCAGCAGCGGTGACGTCACGGCGCCGGACGCCCGGAACGTCACGCCGGCTGCTGACTTCAGCTGTCTGCCGTCAGCGGCACGTCACTTCCCCGAGGTCAGTGGTGGACAGTGGCGGAGGTCTGGCGCCGGCCGTGACGCTCCCGCGCCGCTCGGTCCCCGGCGGCCGCTGGTGGCCGCCGGGCGCTGTGTGGCCTCCAGGCACAAACGGGTCAGACGCCAGCTCACGCTGGCGAGGTGGTTTTGACTGGGCTGGCGTGTTGTGTGACATGCTTGTGTCTTAACGCGCGCCCTGGTAGCCGGCTGGATACCCTTTGCTTGGGTGGGGGTCCCTTTGATCCCCCGAGGCCTCAAAAACTAAGAGAGCTAAAGACAGCAAATTCGCAGGATGTGTTGGCATATACGGGAACTCCTTTGGATCAGAGTTCGAGATTCCCAGGTCATGACCTTGGAGTTAAATAAGGTTAAACAAGGTCAAATTGCAGGTTGATGTCCAAAGTGCCCGAAGAGCCTGACCTAAGAAAAAGTTCTTACGTTCATTGAACTCCAGTGACCTTGTTTGACCTTTCGAGGATTGTGGCGACCAAAATCATACACCACTGGTTTGAGTTTTGCGTTTGAATGAGCAACAAAAATCACGCTGGGCAGTATGTTCCTAAAAACAAAATGTTGACCTGGGTCATTTTGCCCCCACCCGAACAAACTGCCCCCCCCCCACCCCCAAACAAACATATTCTGGAAGTCAAACTGCCCTCACCCGAGGGAGTGTTATGATTCTTTATGCAACGTGCAAGAGAACGTTATGCGTTGTCCTTGAAATTTGCAGTCATCGGTCGTGTCACACCGAGGTGACTTCGTCCGGCGGTCCGTCGCCAGCAGGGTCATGAATCTGTCCGGGAGTTTCGTTTTCAACAGTAATATTACTTGATGTCCGTCCACCAGTATGTGACGGAGACGTGTGATTCCTTGTTTTCGTTGTCAAGTCTGTGGCATTAGGTGGTGTGTTGTATTTTCTTCGTGCCCCAAAGAGTTCTGACAACCGGAATATGGCATTTTGACCCCGTGGAACTCTCGTGTCGTTTTACGCTCACAGGGGCCTGCCCGCATGCAATAGCATGCGATGTCATCCGAGCCCACTATGAGCACTATGCTCGAGTGGTATCACCAATAGTATTCGCATTTTGAGTTGCGGGAATCCTCACCAGCGAGACAGTGCGATTATTTTTGATGTTGTGTTGGTTTGTCACGTGTTATGTCTGTGACCAAAACATCCGGTGTTCCTAATGTCCGATTACATAATCTCCTGCTGAATGTATTTAGTTCTCTTCACCATATTTTATAAAAATCGGTCATGATTATTGCATACGCAAAAAATACATCCGATGTATTTTAGCGTAAGAAATTATTCACACAGTATTTATATAGCGTTTTTGCGTTTGCCTACTTTGCCCTGGTCTCACATCCGTGACAATAATGTCGTATCGTGCAGGTGTATCAGGAACTTGATCGCGGCTTCATTCATCAAACTAAATTCAACCTCCGTGCGCCGAGCCGGGCTTTGCGATGCATCCACGAACGTACCGTCCGCAATCCGTGTGGTTTGCGGAACCACACGGATTGTTTTTCGCAGTTTTCCAGAATGTCCGCAGTTTTTGCGACGCACGGTTGGGTCAGAGACCATCGGGTGGACTGGAAATTTCGGCATTTTGAAACATACGTTACTGAATGCAAAGCGCTGTTGTCGAACCTCTCGTTAAGGGTGCGATGGAATACAGCACGGTATGCCCCTATTCACTTCCTCCACCTCGACTATTTTGTAGCTCATAGTTCGCTTTATCTCACGAATCAAGCACTGCCAAATGGTTACCATTTCACATTTTTGTGACATTGAAAAACCGTTGATCAATTACTAAGTCAGCACCGCCGAGTTCTAGAAGTAAAACACCCTGACACGCGCACTGCATTTTGCCAGGTAACCTGCAGCAATTTGCTTAGCTTCAGCAACTCAGCTTCAATCCGGCTTCGTTCACTCGTAAACTGCGAAGTAAAGAAGCTTTGGTGACGACTGAATTCATTACTTCAATCCCTTGCTCCGTGAAATTTAAGAAGGGCAGCTCTTTTTAACAGAGAAGCGCCTTGCGAATTGTGCGGAGATGTGAAGCTTATGCGTGCGTAGCAATTACAATTGCCAGGTATTTGTAAAGGAAGGCCGTTGCCACGGAAACGCAGCACCACACAGTTTTTCACCTAATGTGCTGTGGAACGGAAAAGTAACGCGATGACTTTGGCACTGCTGCCGCAACGCAGAGACAATGCAGCGGCGCAGAGGATGGATGGCAGCAGCAGACGTGGAAGCACCTGACGCCTGAGTTGGAGTTCGGATTATTCCTTCGAAGGTTTCAGAGTGCGGAGCAAAACCCGGGCGCGCCGGACATTTCAATTAGCGCTTGAAAACTGGATTCGATGCCTCAGTTGACTCGAACGCCTGCCTTCAAATTCACCCAGCTAGCGTGATCTCCCCGTGGGGTGGGTTCGGTTCTCTTCAGACACTTGCTGTTTGCCCCTGACTAAGATGGCCTACGGCCGGTGGCAGCAGCCGCGCTAAAGGTCACATGACGTCGGAGGCAGGACGGGCTACTGCAGCACCAGCTTAGCAGCGCGTTAAACCTTCGCCCCAGATCATGCTGCTGAGCTGAAATGTCATGATCAGATGGTGGGCAAGGCTCCACGCAGCAGACCGTGCGTGGACTAAGTTCTGCTCCCATCAACCCATCCAATCAAAATGTTCCAGCTAGATTTAGAGACATATAAATAAGGGTACTTTGTTAATTACGTACGATCTCAGCTGCCGTTCATTTCAGTCATTGGTGTAGAAACAGGGCTCATGGGACGTCGCTCCCCCTCCCCCCCCTCCCCCCCTCCCCCCCTCCCCCCCGCTTGCCCCGCCGGTTTGGTTGGTGAAAGTTTAGTACTAGCCCTATAGGGCGTTAACCCTATCAAACGCCTGGCCAGAAAGCGTGAGACGGATTGACTCGAAAATGGGTGTACCAACTGTCTTCCTATAATTTCATTGTCATGCTTCCGCTTTATTTTGTTAACGGAGCAAACAATGGCGGTCACTGTCGCAAAACACTTAGAAACCGATTCAACGTCCGCATGTTGAACTACAGATTGTCTGATGTAGTATATGGCCGTACCATATCATTCCAACGCTGACGGATTGCATCTGACCCCATCTTGGATCTGACAGCGACCGTCCGACGGCAGATCCGACGTTGTTGCTGACTTATCAACGCGGTTGCTGACCTCCGACAGTTGACGTGATTTAGTGTGGCTGCGTCTCAAATGTACAAAGCATCGGTTGTCATGAAATTCGCCTGCGTTTCAGTTCGTCACGTTCAGCGTCATCGCGGCGATGGTCTCGTGCGCTGTGTTCCAGCAAGTCACCTCCCTGGTGAAGACTGGCACTCTTCTCGTCATCTGCTTATCCTACCTCGTTCTTGTGCTGGTTCACCAGCCCACGCTTTTCAATGGCGAACTTTTGGGGTAAGCTCACTTCTTAACGGTGTGCTGAGTGCCGTTTGACTGGCTCGCGATGTCCGAACGCAAATGCCGGATGCCTTAATAGGGCTTCGCACCAGACTCGGTTACAGGTGCATGGGGATGTGTATGAACCTCGCTGGAGACGCGGAGAATCCTACGTCACCATACGTTGAAGCTGCGTTTAGTGTGAAGGCCGCTTTAGTCCTGAGTTACGGATTCCAACTGGCAAACATCAAACGACAAAAGTCAAACGAGGAAAGTGAATTGGACATGGGACAGCACTTAGCTTTTTTTTCTCCAAAGGAAAATCGAGTCAAATATGCAAACTAGTGAGAAGCCTAGTGTCTGCCCTAAATAACTTGGAGACGCAGCTTGGTGCCGTCGAGTCAGAAAGCTACCTGCTACATTACACTAATGTTATCTCACTACCTTTTCATAACTAAACAAAATGCAGTTGTAGATGTTCCGGATTTCTGTGAGCAAAGGGAAATCGCAGTAGGCGAGGATACACCTTCAACGCACTTGACCTATTGGAAGTTGCATTACTTAACTCTATATAAGCTGAAATACCTTGTGGTTTAAAATAACAAATGTCTTCACCTTATTGCTGCACGTTAACGCAAAGGTACCACGTGTGTTTCCCAACAATAAATTCTTTAAGATAAAAGGGGTTGATGGTTTCCGAACAAACACCTCAGGAAGAAATATGTAAGCATTTCATGGAAGGCTAGTGCAGGTACGCGGCATGTTCAGTTGTGTTAGACCTCATATTATATATATATATATATATATATATATATATATAAAGATATATACTGGAGACAATGTGCCTTCTGGTCCCTCATAACGCAGGAAGTGTTCCCAGAGCAATGTCTCCTTTCCCTTGGGACGTCCTGAAAATGCGCTTTACACACACCTAGCACATCGAGATTCCATACATGCGGGTGGCGTAAAAAAGATGAAAAAGATGAAGATGATGAATGTCGATAAAGAAAAAGATGAATGTCGATTTTTGCAACTGTATTTGTCCGTCTATCTGCGTGTGCGAGGTATCGGACGTATCTTTTGATTGCGCGCATTCTGCATGTGACGCGTTGGCCCTGAAACGTATGCGATCACGCGCATAATAGGGGAAAACGATATAGGTATTCCGTTCTCAGGGGCTACGCAGACGCTGAGCAATCAGCTGGCGCCATTCCGCTGATGAGCAGCCCGTGGGGGGGGGGGGGGGGGGTGGCGGGTGTGCTGCTTCCCGACAGTCATAACAGTATGCACGTGGACCTTACAGGCACCAAACCGTTGTCTTCTATTTTAAGGTGATATTTGCCAAGTTGCAGCGCAATCGCCTAGTCCATCTTTTCACCAGGGGTTTTCCCTTTACGCCGTAATTATTCCGCAATGCTTGAGCAGAACATTGTCTCTATAGGTGATACGCAGGTGGATGGGGTACTTTTCGGACAACGACATTTTTGCAAATGGCACTAAGGATGGAGGCAAAGTGCAAAAGTGGTCATGTGGTTCTGCACAAAAGTGTCGTAGATGATATTTAACTTTTTCCTAAATTCTGCCCTTTAAAATGCACCTGGGGGCGTGTGCCGCCACTGTAATATATGGGCAACACTTAAAATGACTCGATCTGTCAACAAAATCACTTGAGTTTGGACAATTGATAATGGATGCTTTAGGAGGACAGTGACAGCAGACGAGATTTGCGTTTTAGTTCTTTCCCTACGTAAGCACAGAGCTATTTCTGTTTTTTTCAGGCTTTGGGACTGCGGATCCCTTCCCCCTCCCCCCCCCCCCCACAGCTTCCGCCGTTTCGTTGCGACGCCACCGACCCCAGAGTTGGTAACACCCATGTGCATTGCTCTTAACGCTGTAGCCCGTGCAGTTGTCCGTGATTAGTTCGACTGTCGGGCATGGCTCGATGCAACATAAGACCCCTGTCCCGCCTGGCATATTCATTGTCGTGGTCTAGGACTGTCAGACCACTGAGCCGTGTGGTTCGTATCTCCTTGCTCGCGCCCGAATTGCAGCTTCCTAAACAATGCGGTCCTCCTTTGGTGGTTACTACTACTGCAAATTATGTATTTGCCCTACATCCGCAACCAAACTCGCTGTCCGCTAACGCACTATCATACAAACACGGAGGAGGCAGAAAAGACGACAGACGTGACGTTAAACAGACGCAGCAGACGCAGCAGACATAACCGAGCACAAGCAGATGGAAGCAGACGCGGCGAACTTTAGCGTGACGTCATGTGCCGCTATGTTCGTAGCTTTGGATTGCGCTGCAGCTGACTCTTTATTGCAGCTCGTCGACCGGTGAGCTGGTGACCACACGTTACGTCACTATCATCATCATGGGCACCTTCCTGTCAGCGCTTGTCATCCACGGCCGCCAGACGGAGGCCACGTCTCGGCTTGACTTTCCTCTGGAAGCTGCAAGCCACAGGTTGGTTCCAGCCCCCCCCCCCCCTCCGTCGTCAGGGCAAACCTCGGTATCGGTATGACCCTGATCTAGCATGGTGACTATTGTCACTGATGTACCTGTCCCTCTGTCGTGATAGAGCTTCGCCATCGGTGAGTGAGCCCTCCCCGCGCTCTATCATGGTGACCATCATTACCTGTGTGCTGGATCCTCTTGTCATGGTGAACCCCGCCTCCTGTCGTCAGTCATCATCCGAAATCGAACGATAATCAAAAGGTCGAATCAAAAAGGGAGGACAGATGTGAGAAGAACTACTGGCTACCGTTAAAGTCTCAGCTGTGACTGAGAAAGATCAATGTGTTTCGTACATGTTTCATATGCCGGGTGCGATGTGAACTACGGCAAATGCCCCAACGCGGGAGTAACTATCCTTAACTTAATGGCGCTGGCGATGCGAAGGCTGACACCAAGATTCGAAGAAACTTCCTAAACGACTGACGACATGGGCGTAGTGTACCGTAGTGTAGTGTAGTGTAAACGACGGACGACATGGGCGCAGTGTACCGTTCGTCTGTTTCGTTGTTAAGCTCGCCATCGGTGCGCGCTACCATCCGGCACGGCGCCCTGGGCCGTCATGGCCAGCCGGCGACCCTGTCATGGCTAGCCGGCGACCCCGTCATGTAGCGCTGGGTCGCCATCGCTAGCTTCTCCCCCATCATGGCTAGCCGGTGACCCCGTCATGTAGCGCTGGGGTGTCATCACTTGCCTCTCCGCCATCGTGACCAGCCGGTGGTCCCGTCATGGCTAGCCAGCGACTCCGTCATGGCTAGCCGGCGACCCCGTAATGGCTAGCCAGCGACCCCGTCATGTAGAGCTGGGTCGCCATCGCTTGCCTCTCCGCCGTCATAGCTAGCCGGAGATCCCGTCATGTAGCGCTGGGCCGTCATCGCTAGCTTCTCCCCCGTCATGGCTAGCCGGTGACCCCGTCATGTAGCGCTGGGTCGCCATCGCTTGCCTCTCCCCGTCATGGCTAGCCGGCGACCCCGTTATGTAAAGCCCCTGCCACCAGATTGTCGCAGCGTATTTCATGCGCGGACAGGCTTATTCCCAACTCTGGGATGAATCTGAGTCGACTTCGGAATGCCGCCAAATTTGCCTAAGTTTAGATGGCTTAGCCTCCCTACCATGCACGCTGGATTCGGGTGCGGTGTATTCGACGGTCATTTTGATCAGAATCATGATTGAGCGTGGTCACATTATGCGTAACATGGTTCTTGGTATATCGCAAAAACTCTGAATGAAAGCAGCATAATATGACAAAAGAAAAGTTTGCTGCAGATCTATGTGGTATTGAAGGCACGACCATAGCGGCAATGATCCACGTAATAATTACAGCTGGTCCGGCCCGTTTGGGAAAGGAGAGACAATGGACGTTTGAATGCAGTGATTCCTTGGACGCCACGATACCTGTAGCGTCACGCAGAGTAGGCGGCTGGAAGGCCGCCCACGTCGACGCCAGAGTTGTCTGCGAACAGGGGTTCGATGTCATAGACTATGAGGCAAATGTGCACTGCCATATCTACGGAATAATGCATTCGAGTATTTCCTTTGCTGTGGAATATAATATGAAACTTGTCCCTCGTGCCGTTACGCTCGCGGCTGTTGACCTGAACGACACAGATACCGTTCCGTATGTCGCCCATTGAAACGGCAATTCTGGGGCTGAATTCCCACTGTGTCGCAATTTGTGTCACCAGCTCATTTTATTTCACATTTAATTTCCTCTGGATCCAATGTAAGAGAAAAACAAGGCATGCTCAAAAGTCTTGTACGAAAACAAGCAAAGACCTTACATCGCAGTACTCAAGGACTTGTGCTTCTTGTGCCTGAAAACAACATGGAGCTACGATCAGTGGCTGAAACGATCACATCGTGTATGAAAATGGCTGACGGCCGGGCCGGGCCGAGCCGCTGTTCTCATGCAGATGATGTCGGCAATTAAGCTAATGGATCCAGACGCCTCCAACGATCGTTGCCAATAGACTGGACCAATGCGTTGGAAAGCGTGGCAGTTCTGACACTCCACCCAGCGGCGGCCCATTGATGTGAGATTCGTGCACTAATGCACGAAAGACAAGACTTGTTAACTGCCATCTATGAGTGTAGTCACGCTTGGTAAAACACGCACATTTCGGCTGGGTATAACCACAATGCACGAGCCTACCCGTCAGAATAATTTTCATGGACAATTGCGTTATAAAAAGGTTTTAATGACATAGTACGAAAGGTCATCCGACTATTTGCGGTGCGGTGCGAGCATTTCATGACGGCCGAAAATCGCATCAGACAGCTATGCGTGACGCATCAAATTGGTATCCAGCAGCCAAATCCAACGAGAGGCAGGCGTCGCGTTCATATTTTTATTTAAACTGTAGACACGTCTTTCCTCTTATTCTTTAAATTCATTTAGAATTACTTTAATCCTAGATCTCCTCATGCTTCGGATATTACTATCATCCGTGCCGTTACCATTTGCTGTTAATATCCTTACCCACGCTACTGCACAGCGGTCGCATCCGTCGCAGTGTTGGCGCAAATGTGTTTCATGTATATGCAAACGTGTATATGTGGCTGTGGAGGCTGCCGACAGCTAAAGAGAAAAACGAGCTGTGAGTTGGATACAATATATCCACATTAGCGTCGTCTGTACTGACTGGGAAACTCTGCCGTTTGGCCTCTAATAACTCAGGCACCGTAGACTGCAGACGGCCGAATCCCGACCTGTTCTGAATCAGCGTAGCGAGAGGAATGTTTACGCAATACTTTGGTGCAGATCGAGCCAGCGTGCGTCGCGCGGATCGAGCAAACTTGACCCATGCGGTTAGCACTGGCGCCAGTTGATACCGCGCCATTTGAAAGTTGCCGCGGCAGCACAGAATATCGGTCGCTGAATGGTTGCGTATCTGCCGGTTCCGAGGAGACGAATAGTTGAAAATTAAACTAAACCGATTTGCATAAACGCGAGCAGAAACTGAGAGATCAATAAATAAAAACTGGTCCTGCACCACTGTCTATCAGCTGCGTTGTTCGAGTTAGAGCATGGCGAGCATCCCTGCTCCCGTTTACCTTCGGTTTCTTGGAAGTTGAACGTCTTGTGGTGTGATATTTCTTAGATTTTTTGCTGTATTGTTTCAGTAAGTGATTTCTTGGACACATATTTTAACAATGAAACCAAATACAACCACATAGTGCGTGTGTTCAACTTTCTATTCCTTGGAAGTAAACCTTCCTTCATTACCTGCTCATTCATTACCCTGTCTTTCATCATCCAGCCACGCATTACGCATTCATTCATTTCCCGATCACGCACTGTCCGGTTATCATTGTCTGGCCATTCATTACCCGGCCAGCCATTACCCCGTCTTTCATTACCCGATCATTCATCATCCGGCAATCGCATTGATAGTTCAAACTATATTGAGTAAATATCTGTCCCCTGTTTTGGTCAGATTATGTCATCAGAAAATGTTTTTAAAAAATGATTATGGCTTGACATGACGCTGTGTCCATTGACTGGTCTGAACTGGAAATTCAATGGACGTAAGTGACTTTACGTTTTGTTCCTGTTCCGACAGAGGAAAAGGAGGAAATGGAGCACCTCCAGGCGTACAACAGGAAACTGCTGGCCAACATTTTACCAGCGCATGTAGCAGACTATTTTATGTCTGGGGAAAAAGGAGACGTAAGTATTCATTCGGCATCAATCTGTAAACAGTCATTCGTAGTATCGATGCCTTACAGATCGCAGCAGGCAGGCTCCTGATGGGAACCAGACGAGCCCTTCACTAACCGGTAAGAGTCATAAGTACGGTCATATTTGTCTTCCCTGGAGTTAGCCAAGTACAGTTTTATTTATTTGGCGTGCGGCAGCATGTTAACGCAATGACATCGGTTGATAATTGTCACTTAACACTTTTGCGTAGTTTTATTTGGCTTTCTGTTTTATTTACTTTTAAATTTTGACGTTTTGCAACGCTGCCGGAAATGCGACTCGATCAAACGGCGGCAAACTCGATCAAAGTCAATCTAGGCGGAAATGTCCTGGGTAAGTTTCCTGCTTAACTTTAAGTACTCTGTGATGCCTGGTGCTTGGAAATGGTCGTCCAAATCCTTCATTCATGTTTTTAGGCGCGCGAAGAATTCCTCTGTTGTAACGTTCATTCGCTCAGTCAGCCACCGATTCAATTAAAGCACTCACTCAACAGTCTTGGCTTCGCTCATTATTTTTCATTCTAGCCAACTGCAGCCCTCAATAACTCAGTTATTTACTACGGCACTCAGTCGGTCACTAACTCACTTAATCACTGATCAACTCTGCCAATCATTGAGCAAATCACTCATCATCCTTACGTCACTCCTCCCATCCGCTCACATATTCCATCGCACACAGCCAATCTCTATCCATGAATCAATCCAGCGAGCTAGAATTGCTTTTGAACTAGGGTGGGAGTGAAAAATCTCATCGCAAAAAGACCGTCCGGGAGTGAAAAATTCAATTTACAAAAGATGGAACTTATGAGCTGGTGACTGATGCTTCAACAAACAGATATCTATCTCAAGTTCGCATGGACGTAACATCATGCACCTGACAAAACTGTTTTGTTTCTGAACATCTTAGGCCATTAAAGTGAAACAGAAAACATTAAAGCTTAGCAACTTCATGACAGTGTAATGAGCATAATAGATTATTAACATCAATAATTTGATGTTGCACTTCCCTCCCACAGCACTTTTAACACAACTCAAAGCAAAAGAATTCAATAACAAAATAACAGAAAGTTCAACGAGGATGAAGCGCTCAAACAAAAAAATCCTTGGACTCGGACAAACTTCAGCCCATCACCAAGTTAAACACAATATACATACTTCTGGCTTCTGTTAAAATGGGGTCAGGGAAAACAAACATTTTGTCACTGTTTCTTACAAAATGCCGATGCTTATTTCCATGAAAGTAGCCTAACTATGCCCGACCTAAATGGGCCTTACTTCATCTCATCCTGTCTAACCTGTTGGTATCACAGCAGCAGTTGTGAGTTACTGATTCCTGCACAATTCCTATTGTCACGTGCCATGCACTTAACCAACTTAACTTAACTTAGAGTAGCCCATATGTTGAACGTCATCTCAACTAACCTATCTGTTGACAGCAGCACTTACGATAAAAACATGATAAAGCTCATTTTTAGCTGCTTTCAGCTTGCATTTGTATTCAGTTTATTTGTGTATGCTTGGTGACTTCAGACAAAGTTGACAACACCCAAATGGAACCACTTGCATCTATCACTTTGAACAACTTATTCTGATTGCCATGGTTAAGCTGTGTCAAGGGCAATAATGGGTATGCTCCACAAAACAATCGCTCTTCTCCAAAAGGAACATAACTTTTAGATGACCATGCCAGTTTTGCTGCTTGCCTTTTCAGCTGTAGCAAAGACATCTATTAAAGCTTGTTAATTCATCTTTAATGACATAGCTTGAGATGTTGGCTTCACATTTTCAATGGCATGGTCTGACTATTTGCTTAATGCTGATATTTACCTCATATCACAATTGCTATGCAGCTTAGAGTATTCCGGTATTAAAAATATAGTGCGTATATACAGTACAGTTATTTGCCAGTAAGCAAACCATGACAACCATGGAAAACATCTGGTTAAAGCAACTATGAGGGGCCACTTCAAGAAATTTGCGACAAATAATCAGGAATGTGGAACAAAATAAGCCCATTGCATGCCTTGTGGTATAATAATTTCTCTTACGACAAAACTCGATTGACTGAAGCAGAAAATTGCTAACTCTGGCTACCAATCATGTGTTGAAAGCAGGTCAGGTAAGCAACTACTTGGTCCACAGGAGACTTACTGTCTTCTTCCTGCTCCCCAAAAACAAAAACTCAGCACCTTTTGCATGGTTTGCTGGCAGAGTCATCCCACTCACCCCCAAATATAAATATAAATCATGCCCACCAACCTACGAGATTAAAATGCGAAACAAGCGAGAGGCGTGCATGATAAACATTTCCGGAGGGCAGAATTTCGCCATCAAACACTTCTGTATTAGCTGCGTCAGGTCTGTCCCAAAGCTGTGTATGGCAGCATAAGGATAGCCTTGTCAGGTAGCCTGGTGAGTTATACGCTCGAAATGCTTAGATTTATCCTTATCGAGCACCGCCATGAACCAAAAATGGCTAACCGAGGGTTTAGCAGGGCAAAAATGGCAGTAAAAATGAGTTTTCTGCTTCAAATTGTCTCCTTTATTGCCTGTGAATTGTTCATTCTCGGGCGCATATCAAACACGTTTGGGCGACTGGCGAATTAATCTAATTTATGTATAAATACGTGCAAGTTTGCAGTTGGAGCATCTTGCACAGAAAGTGGTCAAAATTTTAAGCAACTGATGGTACCTCTAAAGGCAATGGGAAAGGAAGAAAAAATAAAGTGGTATCACACTCGCATGATACGAAGAAAAAGCAAAAGTGGTTGAAGACTGATACTTTTTTGGGAACGTTTTGTTATCAGATGATTTGACTTAAATTCTGTTAAAATAAGTGCTCAAATTGTGATATTCATCTTTTGAATTTTATTTAGAATACATTTTTTGAATTTTGCACCCCTGCATTTCGGGAGTGATGCAATTTAGTCGTCAAGTTTCTTCGGGTAAAATAAATATCTGAGGCAAAGTTGTCTACCGGGCCTTGCTGGCGTTTGCACCAGGCTCTGCTTTCGTGGTGTGGTGGTAAGACAAAAAAATTGGGGATACGTGAAAACCTTGCATTTGGCACACCCGCCGATTGTGATGCATTTTGTAAACAAACCAAACTTGATGCGTGCAAGCGGCTGGAGTCGCTGGGGGGTCTTGGGCTTGGAGGTACCTGGCGTCCTTGCTCTGTGCATACATAGACATGATTCAGATTTAGGTGAGGCAGGACATAGCCATAATTGTCCAGGCTCTGTGGAGCCTTGTTTATGCTTGGTGGTTTCAACTTGAGCTCGGTTTTGTATGACATCTGAAAACCTCAGAAAGGGAAATATGGGTTTGGCATTTGCGATTAGACAATGTCAGGCAGGAGTGAAAAATTCACATAAAATATGGGGAAAAGGAGTGAAAAATTCCTCCTCATAGGGTGTTGCTTTACACCCAAAGTCGGTTATTCTAGGACACTGAATCAATCACGTGTTGGCTCATTTCATCACTCACACAAGCATACGTAATGACCATCTGTTTCCTCGATCAATCGCTCTGTAATCATGTCTTCGAAATTCGGTCAAAACGCTCAAATATAATTTTCTCCCCTCATCTTCTTTTGTGTCTGGCCTCTTAATTGGACCCCTTGATTGAGCCTTCCCCCTAACCTTCTAATCCTAGTTGTACCTCTTAATTGTATTCGTTTCCTCGTTCTCAGTGGAGCGTGCCGACTGTTTCTGTGTCGGGCGGGGCGATTCCGGCTGGCTGAGGTGCCGCGTCTCCTCCGGCAGGACCTGTACCATCAGCAGTGCGACTCAGTGTGCATCATGTTTGCGTCCATTCCGAACTTCTCGGACTTCTACGTGGAGCTGGAGGGCAACAACGAGGGTGTCGAATGCCTCCGCCTGCTGAATGAGATCATCGCCGACTTTGACGAGCTGCTCAGCGAAGAGCGCTTCAAGTATGTGGAGAAGATCAAGTCCACCGGCTCCACCTACATGGCCGCTTCCGGTAAGTGGCAGAACCAAGGCAGATCTCAACGCCATCCTGACCCTTTCAAAATTATACGGACTGGCTTCGTACGTGTACTTCACACCCCAACGCTAGCAGCTACCAGTTTCCCTACGGTTTCAAATCAAAGATGAAAATTCTACAACGCTCATGACCCCGGGAGTCAGGCATGAAATGTATCAATCAAGGAAATATTACTGGACATCCTATGTGTTACCTACAGTGCAGTACAGCTTGCGGCGAAGCATTTAAAAGGTGGTATATGCGCATGTATTTATCCATATATCATTATTGGGGTGCGGTGACAGTGGTTCTCTTCCCCAAGCAACTGTGCTGGCCCCCGGACTAGCATCTGAAAATGACTGTCGACTCTTTACTGGGACGGTACTTAATCAATGCAATGTCACGCCATCTGCAACCAGGGCGGATTCAGGATTTTGTCAAGGCGGAACACCTTAAATTTCCGAGGGTCTGCAATGAGGTGGCGTCCGAAAAAGTCTCGTGGGGAAATGTCCTATTTTGTTTTCTTTTCCAGCTTTGGTACCATGTACAGCAAGCACACTGCATGCTGGAAATTGATGTCTGGCTAGCTTATGTGCATTTGAATGCGTCATTTTCACTTTTCTGGGGAAGATCCGCGATTGTGTGCGCTCGAAATATCAGCCGTAGATCCATGTCAACTTTACAGGGCACACAAGAATTTGCCCTCACGGGGGTAGCCGAGTGGGTTCCAAGGAAACGGACAATGCGGGACCCATAGCCACCAGTCATGGGAGTCCGAAGCCGGCTTCGGCTTCGGCGTCCGCTTTGCAAAGACTCGGCTTTCTTGCAATGACTCTGGATTCGACTGCGGCTGTGAAGCATTTCCTTCGGCCAGCTTCGGCTTCAATTTCGTCATCTTGCCATTCTGAATGGTTGGTTTGAGCCTCGGCTTTTGCTGCATGACATATTTAACAGATGGCTTCGGTTTCGGTTTTGAAGGCATTTTGAATTATAACTCCGGCCTCGGTTCATTGCGACTTTATTTGCTTTGGCTCTGTCATGCTAATTTGCCACCACTGTTGCGGCTTTGCTTCGCAAAAACAGTCTTACCGTGCCGTTAACCCAACATACCACGATTTGTTTAGGCTGTGAGACATACATGACCAAAATTTTAAACAAACCGGTTATATCTAGGACCAATTAACGCTTGCCGACGGTCCGATAATCCAATGCCCGAAACGTTGCGCATATATGGGTGCAAAGACGAGAATGATAATCCGGAAAATATTTTATTCGTAATGCTAACGTCTTGTTTCAATCACTTCGCAAAGCTATCGCGATGTTTCCTTAAGTCAAGCAGTGTTTGGAAGCGCGAAAAGGGCTTTGACTGCGTAAAATAACGCTTGCACTAGATCCAGCTTCGGCTTCGGCACCGTTATTTCGAACTGAGGGTGATTTGACTTTGGCTTCGCTTTTCCTGGGTACGAAACCCCTGGCCTTTGCCTCGGCTTCGCGTTTTCAATTTTCAAGGCCACTGGTTTCGGATGCGGGTTCAAGTTTTGTAAATACGAAGCGATTATCTTCAATTTCGGCTTCGGCTTCGGCTTCCCAGTTTCAAGATTAATCCGTTTCGGCAATCCGTTACGGCTTCAACATCATCGTTGTCATTACCTCGGGTTAAGATTACACTTCGAATCTAGAAGCCTGACTTTGTTTCCATCCCGGATGGACGCGCCTTTGAACCTGCACTCTGACGCCGCTGTCCAGTAACATTGAGACAGCTCGACACTTCAGAGCCAAGATTCGAGTGCATGAACGCTTCATTAGAAACGTGGTTACACGAAGACCTCCTGCTACAGTGAAATAGAGCTATTTTTAGCATAAGAACTGCTCGCTCTCATAATAATTTAGCTTCTACCATGTCAAATGTGGACAGGATGAGATGTAGACATCTAAGTGATCTCTCACATTTGTAATGGCTGTCATTTTTTAACAACATTTGAGTGATAGTTCCGGTAAAGTTTTGCATGCAACCCAGAAGATACACCTCATTATGGTATATAATGTGTAGCGGGTAAATATATGCAAGCATCTGTTTTTTTCTTGAAAGAACAATTTCGTATTTTTGTCATAAAAAACATTACATGCACATGATATGCTCTACTCAAAACTATAACTAAACACACGTACTACGGCATGTGTCGAATTTTGATCGCATGGTTCGCCTGCACTTGTACGATTTTTTCCCTCATGTTGTCTGTCATCAGGCTGCAATAGTTGGCGGTTGTGCCGAGTACATGCATGACAATTTTGCGCCACCGCTAACCTGGGTGGACGTTTACCGCCATCGGCTCATGGCATGTTAAATATGCTTCCTGTCTTATCACATTTGGTTTTCTGGTTTCAAAGTTACTGCATTAGCCTGTAGCTACTTAAGCTTTTTAGCGTGGCAATGTCCAACACGGCGGGGAAAGGTGTACACCCGTTAACAGGGGGCCAGACAGCCTCGATGTCGACCATGATTGTCCGCTGCCCAGGATGTGAGCGCGTGCTTTTCATCGGCCAGGTCTGACGGAGGCGACCTGTGACCTGAAGACCTTCCGGCACGTGACGGCCATGGCTGACTACGCGCTGCGATTAAAGGAGCAGCTAGCCTACGTCAACGAACATTCCTTCAACAATTTCAAAATACGCGTCGGTAAGTGCACTTCGTGGCATAAATGTCGCGATGTGGCATGTGCAATGCAGTCTATTACAGTCAGCCTTGGAAGTGTTTCTCCAGTACCGGGGCACAATTATCGCTGATGTTGTTTTTTAAAATTTGTGATAGCTGCTCTGATAACTTGGAGCGTTTTTCGTTCAAGGTAATGCTGAAATTCTTCTCAATAAACCGCTCCTTAGAAAATCTGCGATATCATTGACGGGACTAATGAATATCGAAGCTTCGGATGGGTGTGTGATCAGGATCTCACTGAGTGTTCCATCTCCTCCCGTGCCTCTACGGGTGTTCAGAAACGGCAGTCGTTCTAGGCCTGGACGATCTCCTAGAGCGCATCACCGTACACGAGACGCCGACGGCATCCCCCGGCCTACTCCCGCATACGTTATTAACTTAGGTAGCGGAGACCATTATTCGCTGACCGTGGTAGAGGATCGCAGACCTCGCAGAACGCGGCGAGTGGTCCCAGCCGAGCGCAGCTTCGTACAATGCCCCGAGGCGGTGGCCTGCGCGCCGTCGCCGCCCAGCTGCGGCAGGCGTTGCGCTCCCCTGCCTCCCTTTCAGCGCCGCGTGGCGATGGGGGCTCGAGACACGGCCACTGTCCCTGATATGCTGACGTCGTCCGGCTTTGGCTCGTTTCCCATGAATCCATCGTTGAATTGTCCTGAGTCATGTCGACGGCTCCAACGCCCTCGCCCGCATGTCATCCAGGACGTAGGAGCTCTTTATAACAGTGCCTGGAGCGGCTAAGGGAGGAGGAGGCTTGCATGCCACTACACACGACAGAAGAGGAAGGAGCTGCATCACGGCCCGCCCAGATGTCGGAGGTAGCGCCACATAATACATAATGCATAATGGCACATAGCCACCGAGGAGGATGGGGAGGGAGAAAGACGCGTAACAGGACGGGGATCTGTTGGATTCGTATTCGGCATAGTCGCGCTGGGAGCTCTAACATACCATAGCAATGAGATGTCTAGTGAACTTCGCATGACATCCGAAAGAGACCAAGGGAAGATGAAAAAAACATCATAGGCTCGGACACAAATGCGATAAATGCATTTTAAAAAGCGATGGTAACATAACGCGATCGGTATTGATAATATCAATATTGTGTTAATTATTTTGCGTCGCTCTTTCTCAGCATTTCTTAATGATCAACACCTGCGCACATTTTGTACCGCTTCCAAGTGGCTCCCACCAAAAAGCCCGCTGTATTTTGGGATTCGGCCTGGCTCAAGCGATTCTTCCAGGTCAAGCAGGCAAGGCACCGCCTGCATGGTTACAGCCGTTCAAGTGGCTGTAGCCATGTAACCATCCTTTGTAGCTCCCCAAGCAAACGAAAGATCGCCCAGCACAAGTCCTACTCGCCCACGCCCCCGATCGAACAAACAGCCATGTTCGGGCGGCCGGTCAGGGCTATCTCTGCCATTTCCGCTGCTGCTTGTGCAGGTATTTCTTCGGAGAAATTGTCACCTGCTGTGTCACCCCGAGAGCCCAAGGGCTGGAGGGCAGTGTGGTGGGATCACGAGACTTCATGAATTGCTCTTGATCGCACGCTTATGTCAAGTTCCTCGCGGAACTAAATAAACTGCCCGCAAATCAGCAGCACGCCTAAACTGCGGATGTTCGATGTGTCTGTTAGCAGATATGCGCACTGCTCTCGTTCACGCTAGTGACATCCACGGTGATGGCCCGTGTTACGCTGTTGCCTCTATCATGGACAGCACACAGGCTCACCCACTCCAATATTACAGCATGACTTCGGATACGGTGATATTCGAGGAGCATTAAGAAGATGGAAGTGAAACATTTCACGCATGCTTGATGTCTGAAGGAGATTGCTGATGATGCGGGTCTCTGGAATACAGGCGTGGTGGGGAGATCACCACGCCTGTTCTATCTGGGAAGTGTGACGTTGGCATCCGAAAGAAGCAGCTTACATTGCAGCCGTTCTCTACATGCTAGGCGGATACAGATGGAAAGTCCAACGAACCAGAGTCACTTTTGTCAGCCACCAAATACACGAGGTCCAAAAGAGTCGGCAGAACCCGACCAGCGGGGACGGAAAGATCGTCTGATGTATGTCAGGCCATGCCGATGGCGCGGACTACGTGGACGTGGACGTTTTGTGCCCGCATGCCATAGTAGGAAGTCGTTTCCAGCTTCCTGCGGACGTGATCCACACCCCGGTCAGCTGCGACACCTCCGGGTCGCTTCTAACGCTGACGTGTCACGTGATCAGCGCTAACTCTGTGTCCGTCATGCAACTGTGGCTGAGCAGG